TTACAAAACTAAAAAATGAAGACAAGAAGTTTACTACCAAATGGAATAATAAAAATCAAGTAATTGATAGTAATAACTTCATCAATTATATCAGAGTGGCAGTAAAATCCTCTATGCCCATCACCTTAAAATCATGGAAGAATGCAACTCTAGCAATAAGGGATGTAGTGTGCAATACTATAATGGTAAAATACTATCACTTTGATTATTATTTTAAACTTGTTTTTACATATGTCCTTACAAGTTGACTTGTTTGTTTTGTAGTTGGGATTTGAGATAGAGGAGAGACACAAGAAATTTGTCCTACAAAAGGCTAGATAGCCCTTAGAACTTTTAGAAGTTTTGTTACCCGTATATTCTTGCCAAACCTTGACATAAAAGGTATTGAAAATACAGTTCCTTCCCTTATTAGGCCAATTGTGAATTTAGATAAATAGAAAGCTTTTGTTGACTCACACCGCAATCTTGAGTTCAAGGTAATATTTCTGATATTCTATCTATATATTGTTGATTTTTTTAGCTTTTACTTAAATTTATTTGTCATGTTTTGTGTTTCCCAAGGCATCAAGAGCCAAAAACAAAGAGTTGGTAGAGAAATATGAGTATACCTATAAGGCTGGGTACAAGGGATATGTAGGTGTTGAACAAGGGGCTGATTGAAGAAAAGCAGGTGCCTGAGGGTTTTATATCTCATGGCAGGGTTTAAAAAACCAGAATGTTACGGTTCGCCCATTTAAAACCTTGAATAAACACATAATCATCCTCATTATTCTTCCTAATAAATCCTTAAACAACTAAATCATCATCAAATCCCTCAACTACATCTAGGGTTTTGAATTTAACACCAACATTGTTATTAACAACCTCAAAACAACTTAAATCATGCTTATTTAACCATAAAAAAACTATTTGATTTGAAAGCAGGGGATGGGTCATTCAAAAATTGAAACCCTAACTACAACCATGAAGATTTCTAGCTCAAAATGAAGAGAAGAGGGTAGAAGAGATGTTAGGATGCTTACTTTAGGCTTTTGAAAGCTTCAATTTGTGCTCAATAAATGCCCTAAGTGAAACCTTAGCAAAGCACAATAAATTTTGCACCAAACTCTTACCAAAAACTCTACTTTTGTTCTGTCATATGACAGAACAAGGGAGTTAAAATCATGTCCATGCATCACGATATGTGTAGCAAAAATGTGCCATCTAAATCTTAGCCCAACTATTTGGGCCCAGCTAGCCCAATACCCATTTTAGACCCTTTTAACTTTAATATATCATGCTAGGCCCAATTTAAACCATATTTAACCACCTAAACATACGATTTACCTCAATTAACCTCGATTACTGATTGATTCCTTAAGGAAATCTCAAGACAACATTAATCCTCAATTAAGTTCCTTGATAAAACTCAATTTCCATAATTAATAAAATATCCAAAAATTTAGGATGTTACAAAAGCCGTAACAATAACATCTTATTTTTAATTGGTAATTAATTGTGGAAATTGTGGATTAATTGAGAATGTAAATTTGAAATGTTATTATTTTGAGGTTTGATTGAGGAATAAATTTGTGATTAAGGTTATTTGAGTTTAATCAAACATTTAGGCACGCGCGTGCGCATGTGCATGCGCGCACACACACACATATAATATAGCTAAAAATGGGTCTAGAATCATGCATTTAGGTTGATTGCGGTCCAAAATAGGTATTGGACTAGATTGAGCCCAAAATCTTTGGGCTTAAGTAAGTGCACCATTTTTGTGTCATGTGCCATGGCGCATGATGTCTCTGCCATAATGCATAATACAAAATTTTTGATAAGATATTTGTTTCAAAAGGAATGTAAAGGAGAAAGGTTTTTGGAGAGTTTGGGTGAGTTTTTAGTGGCTCTATTAGGGTTTCAGCATTTCCAACCTACGACATGATTTTGGGGTTTAAATCACTCAAGGTAACCTTCTTAATTTGCCTACTTTCTAATCTCTTTTAAGTAGGTTTAAATGATGTATAAGATTAGGGTTTCAAATGTGAGTGGCTCTAGCCATAGGGTTCAAATTAGTATTATATTTTGTGTATATTATGGTGCTATTATCATAGAAGATGGTAACATGCTTGTTTGGGGAACTTTACTAGCAAGGAGTAAAGGTAACTATTTCCAATGTATGGTGGTGTGTGTGGGTGTGATTGATTATGTGGTTGTTGAAAATATATGTTGTTTGAAAGAGTATTATGTTTGGAAAATCATATTGTCTTTTGGAAGGTTGTCTTGCCAACTAGGAGATTAATGTATATGATTATGTTCTTATGATAATATATGTTTGGAAGCATGAAATAAATTGTTCAAATGAAATTTGTACGCATGACTTGTTAGGCTTGAAACGATTGTTGGGGATTTTTGTTTGGACTTATTCAGGTGCCATGTAGTATGCTCTCATTAGACCCAATAAGTGAGTTGTAGCTTGAACTAATTTACCTTTGGCTAGGTGAGCCAGGCATTGAGCATGGACTACAATGCTAGAGTAAGGAGGGTTATAAAGTATAGTCATATATTTTTGTTTGGTTGTTCAAATGTTTTCTTGTTCAAAAATATGTTTTGTATGCTCATTTAACAATCACATGATTAGTTATATCACATGCATTATTTCATATTAGTTTTAGTTATTAAAACTTTTGTTTTCATTCTCTGTGGTTAACAATTTTTTAGAGAAGAGCTCAATCAGATTTGTGTAGAGAAAGTTATCCATGTTTGAAGTTAGGACTTTTTGATGAATCAATCGTTGGCTGCCGCTGTATTGTGTGCCATGATGCACATCTCCTTTGCCCACAGCGCATGCCCTTCTTTTAGACGTCCTCTTCTATAATGTTTGTTGCGGCATGGATAGCATTAGCCACAATGGATGGCACAGATTTTTGGACAAATTAGCCCATCATGGGAATCATGCTTCAATATTAAGTATTATTTATAATGCTATTTTGAGTTTTAAATTAATTGTCTTTAATGGTATTCCATTTAGTACTACTAATTTAACTTTGTTTCTTCCTAAATTATGATGGTAGATTTGATTTGTTATGTTTAACTATTTTCTACCATAGTAGATCTTTTTTCTATTTCGGTAATCCATTTTGAGAAAATTTTTAATTGTAAGAAGAAAAATTTCTACCCTAGTAAACTCTAACAAAGTGGGTTTGACTTTTAATTATCATGATAGATTTTTTTAAAAAAAACATGGTAGAATTTTGAAATACTATCTTGTATTCTATCTATCATGATAAACTTTTAATTACCATGATAGGGTTTTGAAAAGTAAATATAATTATTTATTACCATGATAAACATTTTTTTATCATAAGAAGTATTTATATGTTGAGTTTTGAATATATAATTACAAGGTTACTTGTGAAAAATTGACTTGAAAATTTAGAGCGTTATAGTAATAGCATTGGGTTATTAACAAACTTGTCTACATGCACTATAATAAAGCAAGTTAAGATCCTACAAGCACTAAACAATCAGACACAGACCAAACAAACTGAAACATCAAACGAAGTACAAAGATGTAAAAGCCAGACCAGGGAAAACGAGTGACTTCCAATAAGCTGCAGCACTTGATGATGGGCATGAGGCTCAATTGCACAAAAGCCCCCCATAGTATCGTCCATGAAGACGGGGTTATCTAGGTTCCGTCTGTTAATATTGTTTGACTTTATTTATATATATAATATTGCTTATTATAAAAAAAAATTAAATATACTAAATTTTACATTTCTTATCCTCTTTGTCTCTCTGTCAAAATTATTCAACAATATTTATGGCAAAAACATTATTAAAAGATATAAACCATTTCATATATATATATATATATATATATATACAATGATAAATGAATAAGAATTTCGGAGTGATGAATTTCATGGTTGTCTTCACTCATCATCATCATTCTACATGGTACTTTTCATAAACATCTATTAACCATTTTTTATAGTCCGCAATAAATTAAAAAAGTCATTTAAAATTAATTATGTTTTATAATATTTTAAAGGACTTTTATATATATAGCCGATATTATAAGACCAAATCAAATAAATAGTCCAACATATATTATATTATACATTATAGTCAGCTTGTTATATTATTAATGATATACTATTGTATATTAATCATAAACCTCTTATAAATTTTTAAATTTTCAATGATAAATCCTTTATAAATTAATGTAAACCAGCCACACTTTTAAGTTTTTGAAAATTTGGTTCACATTTTCTAAACATAAGATTTTTCTTCAACCAGTGGGTTAATTTATCCTATTTTAAAATTATTCTTGCTAAAAATTATTAGTTTAGCTAGGAATATTAGATGAATAAATAATAACACTTTAAATAGAAGATATTGTATTTAAAAAAAAAAACTTTTAGGAGATCTTTCATGAGAAGGAATGGATGAGGAAGGATTAATTACGTACTATCGTTGTTGTTGTTGGAGTTTGTTCTCTTTATGTGCCATCTATCGTTGTTTATTATATATACATATATATTAAGCATTTTGATTCAAACTGAAAATATGAATCCGAGTCATTCAAGTTAACCCCAATAACTTGTTGTATGAATAAACTTATTAACCCAGACTATTTAACCTCTAAACCAAATAGGTCTGCCCATTTGGGTTAGTATTGATCGACCTAACCCATATTAAAAATAAAATTATGAGTGGAAAGAATAAAGATCCAAATTTCCAGCACTACTCACTTAAAAAACCTAGAAATAAAATAAAATTAAAAAAAACAAAATAAAAAAGAACCCAACCTAAATTCCTTATTACAAAGTAAAGAAATCTTGAAAGTAACCAAAATACCTCTAGACAAATGAAAGATAGACTCAGTAGTCACACATTCAAAAATTTGTACCTAGACAAGGAAAATTTATCAGTCAAATTTTATCAAATGTTCATGCCAAATTCATATTTCCAAACCCTTTTATAAACACATCTAGCTCTGAAAAAACTAGGAAAAGAAATGGGTATTTTAGTTACAGAATATTTCGTAGTCAAACTTCACTAATTTTTCATGTGAAATTCAAATCACTAAACCTTTTTTACGAACAAATATTGAATTGGTTTGGTTTGAACATCACATGTCAAGAGTTTCGTCTCTATGCTATCCGACGCCAATGCCTTGTAACCCAAAAAAAAAAAAAAAAAAAAAAAAAGAAATTGAAAATTATTGACATTTAAAAAGCCCAGAGCCACCAAGGATCATGGCAGTGTCAATGTTCCTTGAAGAGCTCACGTCCAATAATCATTCTTCTGATCTCACTCGTTCCTGCTCCAATCTCGTATAGCTTTGCATCTCTAAGAAGACGACCAACTGTATACTCATTCACATAGCCATTTCCGCCTAAACACTGTATAGCCTGCACATTTGAAGGTTAAAAATAAATGTCCAAGGACAGAGACATCACCCATAGTGTTCTATTGCTATCTTCTTATTTTCTGATTTTTGCAAGTCATAGAGATTACCATCCCATTGATGTTAGAAGTAATGCTGCATATTTGGTGGATGATAATCTTATTGCAATCCTATGAGCATGCATATCAGTGTTGCTCTAAAATCAATGCCCATAGAGGCACCGGTGTCCTTGATGACACATCTTGCTACTTCGGGTCACAGGTGATTGCAAAGAATCCTTATGAGGCGAGCTTATTCTAGTTTCTTTGGCAACCTCTTCCCGATGGTGTTGGTCAAATTATTATGTTTATTTTTGGACTCATGCTTGTGGGTTATGATTTGGTGGTTGTGTCAATTTTATCAAGACCAGAGGTATCTTAGGTTTTTTATGTTTATGTACTAATCGTTTTATCTTAATATAAATATGACATATATTAAAAAAAAGATGGTTAAAAATAAATAAATAAATAAAAAGATTGTCATCTTACTTACCTGCAAAGCAATCTGAGTTGCTCTTTCAGCTGCACAAAGAATGACTCCAGCACAATCCTGCAGTTGCCATGGAAGTTAATCTACCGCCAGGTTCAAAACCGTTACCGTTAAAATAATGCCTCGTTTTGAGTACAAATGGCAAGCGAAAGCTTGATAAAAAGGGTCTAGGTTAGACCAAGTCTATCTGATAAGAGAATATCAGCACAAAAAAACAGGATAAGAGAATACTGTTAAAACAATTACTAAATGCTTCAGTAATTGGCAACAACAACCGATTACAAACAGAAGAACAAGATCAGTTTATTTCAATAATGGCACATCAGAATTAAGAATCAAGGGGACCCTGAATTAGGAAAGAGGGCGAAACAGAAATATAGTTCAGTGCTGAAAGTATAGCCCGTAAAACTAGTATGAGATAATATTTAGAACAAGTCTATGCAAAGCTTGAAGGTAATATGCAAGATAAGGAAACATTTAAAGTATTCCCTCCAGACCACAATATAGAACATCTTTTAGAAGTTTTGTTTGGTCCAAAATATAATGCTTGAGTAATTTTTACAATTGTTTTTCCAATTATACCCTTACTTCATTTATTACTCTCTTTGAAAAGAATAAAGCACTGGAATTTTAATTATTATCATCAAAGTACTTAGATGGCGTTTTTAATGAGTGAATAATTGGAAAGATGTAAAAGTTTCTAAGAGATTAAGGTTTCAACTAATTACTTTTGATAATCGTGAAGTAATTACCAATGTCCTATGCCGTGGTCCAGAGAAAGCATGATAATCTTAATTTGACAGAAGTGCATGTGGTAAATAGTTTATAAAGTCAGAAAGAATATAGAACACAAAACACAAAAATAGTGCCAAAATGTGTCAAAAGTTCATTAATAGAAATCAACCGTGAAGATCTCAATAGAAGGGTAAATGACAGAGTAATTATAATATATACAGGATATCAGGACGTACCTTTGGATTAATTATTCCATTGTCACAATCTCGAGCAACAGAATACACATAAGACCTAAAACACAGATTATTCTTTCCACGAAAACAATTAACAATAAACAGAATATTAAACATGACAATACAATCTTGTACCTTGAAGACTGTAGAGAAGTGTACATATCGGCAATTTTCCCCTGGAATTATTAACCAATTAACAGAATGAGGCTCCATACAGGTGCCATGTGGACTGTTAAAGAAAACTTAAATTTAAACCTGCATAAATTGAAATTCCCCAATAGGACGCCCAAACTGCTCTCTTTGTCGAACATAAGGAAGAACAACATCAAGACATGCCTGCATGATACCCAAAGGACCAGCTGCCAAAACAAGCCTCTCTAAATCCAACCCCGACATCATGACATAGACTCCTGAGCCCCAAAAAAAAAAAAAAAAAAAAAGAGGGGTGAAATTAATAAACTACATTTGATGTACACTGTACCATGTATAAGTCTCATTTGATTAGTCAAACAAATGAAAGCAAAATCAGTTATACTATTTCAAAATAAAAATTAATACATAAGGTGTTGCTAGAAAAAGCTGACAGAAGACAAACTCCTTCTAGTTCCTATTATAAGGCACCTCTAACCTTACTAGAACCAAAGAGAGGTGGTTGAATTATTAATAGAAAAACATAACTTTGGATCCATGTACTTTGCTCGCATTTTGCTATAGATCCCTGTACCTTTTTTTCTGATATTTTAGGTCCCTACATTTTTATTTTTTGGTATTCTAGGTCTTTATAATATGCTCATGGAGGGACTTATAACACTATAAAAGAAAAGTATAGGGACCTGGAACATCAGAAAAAAAAGTACAAGAACCTATAAGGACTAAAGAATTCTTTTAGAAGACACCTTATAATTGGGACAAGATGGGGTAACTCATATTCAGATATAGCAAGTGATCAAGTTGAGAAGTAGACTCTTCCCAATGATTTCTTCAAAGAACTCTCTAACAAACAAATACAATTGTCCAAATACGCCAATTGGATAATTTTCTTGCAACATACTTTTATATGCTGCATAACACAACTGTTCTGAGACCCTTTTTAAATAAAAACTATTTTATTTTGAAAAAGATGACTCCAGAAGCAATTGCAAACCTTTTCCTTCTTGTCCAAGAACATTTTCATTTGGAACAAAGCAATTCTCAAAGACAAGCTCACATCTGCGAATAACATTTGCTATTGTCAGTATATGAAAGTTGTTTATGGAGATGGACTCAAAAACACAAAACATGCATACATACGTATCACTCCCTCGCATCCCGAGTTTATCCAATTTCTGGGCAGTACTGAAGCTGTAGCAAAAAGAAAAGGCTTTCAGAAAAACATAAAACTTTCATCTACATTTTCTTATTGAAATTTTTTTATGCTTTTCAAACAAGTAAGATGGATTTATTTTTCTATTAATTTTTTGCATGCACGTTGTTTGTGTTCATGAACATTTACATGCCCATCCCCACATTCCCCTTTTCAATTACAGTGGTAATTTTCCATAAAATGAAAACCTCTAACTAGTTGATGTCTAAACTATTCCAATGCCCTCTTGTTTATCATTTAAAATATTTTGCATTCCTGCCAAAAGACCTGGTAAGTTCCACTAATGAGTCAAGAATTGAATGATTTAAGGAAAGAAAACCCATTAATTTTAGCAGCACCACTGGTCAAAATACCTCAAAAGTTAAAAACCCACAATCTATATAGCCGATCCCACACAATCTATATAGCCGATCCCACCTAGTAGGATAAGACTTGTTAAAAACCCACAAAATGGATGGGCCATAACAGCATATGAACACATAATTTTCATTTAACTGAATTGAAAGAGTTTTACATCCACATTAATATCTTAGAATTTATGCAGGTTCAGAGAGAACACCCTGGCATTCCTTTCTCGATAATGAAGGCTGTAATTCCTTTTGACCCTGCTTTTGTGTCTGTTTTTGCATAAACAACCTGATCAACTTCAAAACATTAGCCAAATGTTCCGATAATGACTATGAATATATCTACACTATATGAGCTAATCTCATTCTGAATAACATTTCGTTGCCTTATATGGATGGTCATGGACATTTCTTCCCTGCACTAGGTGCACCTTATCAGTTGTGCACTGGTTTTTGGTAAACAAGCACTCAGTTTGGCATCTTGAGGTTTGTGCCCACTGTGCAGTGTTAGTCAAACCAATAAGTAGACACAGTTTTCCTTACTAGCATCAAGGTCTCCAACAAGAATACTGCTTATATTACTAGCACTGTCAAGGAAAACATTTTTCCATCTATTTACAATCCCCACACTCATTTCACCAAAACAAAATTTGTCTTGACTCTTTAGTCCTTATTCCATTTAGAAAAGGGGGGAAAATAGGAGGCATACCTATCCTAGTTAGCAGATATTGAGCTTTCCAAAATACCATGTGCTTTTCTTGATTTTAATCAAGAACAAAATTTATGTAAGAAAAAGTTTCAATTAACTTGGCTATATAACCATGGCAGCTGTGAAAACCATGAGAAAGAAAGGTATTGAAAAATGCAAAGCATTCAAAGAGAATACAAATAGCCAAAATCATCCAATTATAATTGAAAATATACGTAACAAAGTTACGTAATGGTCATCTTAAAACACCACTGTTTCTGTGTGAATGCATTGGAGAGTAATATAACTAAACATCATATCATTTATTAGTTAATTATAATCAAAAAAGAAATATATAACAAGTAAACAATGATCATTTTAAAATATCACTGTTTCTGTGTGAGTGCATGGAGAGTAGTTTACCTAAATACCATGTCATTTATTAGGCAACGTGACCCTGGAGAAAGAGAGAGGCAAGTAGTATAAAGTAAATAAACAATAAATGGAGCTAAATGAACATACTAATGTTTCAGCAACTGGACCATTGGTACACCACATCTTGTTTCCATTAATTACATAACCCTGATCTACCCGATCAGCCTTGCATTTCATGCTAACAACATCAGAACCAGCTGCCCAAAAAAAAAAAAAAAAAAAAAAAAGGCCAGATTGAACATCGTCGCTGGGATTTTTAATAATGCAAGATACAGCTGTTTTAGTCCATATAGTTACCATTCGGCTCACTCATTGCCAAAGCTCCCACATGCTCTCCAGAAATGAGCTTCAAATAGAAAATATAAACTAATCAGCCAAGAGAAGGAGACTAATTACAATTAGTCGATTACTAGAAGTGCATGCCTAGCAAATAATATCTGAGCATTTATTACTAGCTAATAAATTAAATCTATTTACATTATCTACTGTCATATGATAAGCCAGCAAAAATGTACTGAAAACAAATAACATTAAAATAGTGAGAACCTTGGGCAAGAACTTTTGCTTCTGAGCAGCGCTTCCATTCCTCACCTGAACAAAAAAAAAAAAAACAGGATGAAAGGGCAAAATGCTCAGCAGAAGATCATCAAGCTTACAATGAAAGAGATGTAAAATGAAGATTTACTCAAGTACCAGCTGATTTATACACAAGTTAGAATGAGCACCATAGGAAAGTCCAACAGATCCAGAGGCACGGCTTATTTCTTCCATTGCTAAACAGTGGTACAGGTACCCAAGGCCAAGGCCTCCATATTCCTCTGAAAGAGTGAAGAATTAGCTTTGGACAAGCTTGTTAGCACGCCACTCATGGCATAGGAAATAGTCTGCAATGAATCTATTATCTACAATATTTTTATGGAGGAGGGTGGTATTGGACAATACAATTTTCTTTCTTATGGTTGAGACATATTGTTGGCTTTATATATTTCAAAGGTCTTAACGATTGTATACAATCATAGAGAGGAACATGCAAGCTAAGTCTAGATCATAGTGTGTGTGTAATGCCCAGGCTTCAACAGTCGAAAAATGCAATCTCTTATGATAAATTAGAAATAGAGGCAGAAAAGTTAGGATGGAGAAAAGACTCTACCTGGTGCAGTAATGCCAAGGAGATTGAAATCTCCCATTCGTTTCCACAAGTTAACCTCCTAACATTAGACCAATTAGAAATCAGAATTTCAAAGATAACATATCATTTTGATAAACATCAAAAGCTTAGGACCCTCATACAAACCTGTGGGAATGAATTCGTTTGGTCTATTTTTGCCGCATAAGGAGCAATGTTTTCCTTAGCAAATTGCGCAACACTTTCTTTAAACTGCATAACGCAACAAAAAATTCTAATTTGTAACTTTGGTATTGAAAGTTACACAGTCCATCTTCAAATACGTTCATATTTAAAACATTTTTAAGGAAAGAAACACAAAAAAGTGGCCGATCAAATTTAAATATAAAATACAAACAGCCAATATGAAGTGATGAAAAAGATTATCAAAAGAGGAAAGTATTTTCGTGCGTATAAGATTTGAATAGACAATGAAAAATCTTACGATTATCAAACGAGTGGGGTCGGCTAAACAAAACTGAAATTTTATTTCTGCAGAATGCATGGTCAGACATGCCAAGCTTAAATATTATGTTTAAAAGCCGTCGGATTTTCTTTATCTCTTAAAAATAAGCCAGCTACTCAACCTCCAACTGGAACAAAAATCACTACAGAATCCGCAGAAAGTCGCGATGCAACAGAGCAGTGAAATTACCAAGAGAAAGTTGATCTCAAATTTAAAATTTTGGCAGATCTTTTTCTCATTCACAATCACTGAGTAGTTCGGTATCAAGACCAATAGTTTCCATTTTCAATCCAGGACACATTTATCCCACAAACCAGATTAAAAACCAGAAGTTGCAGTAAAACTCTTAAATAGCTTAAACCCAAACGATACAATTTAGAAAGAGACAGAATACCTGTTTCTGAGTATCGTCGAAGAGTAAGGAGGTGGAGAAAGCAGCAGAGAAAGGTTTTCTTCTGAAAATAAACTTGGGTTTGACGATCCTATGCATCTTCCTCCTCTGCAAGAAGGGTACCACGGGAAGGTAGAAGAAGAGCTAGTTTACTATCTAACCAAATCCTGCCTGGTAGGTTGGTGCATTGCACCTGTCTCTATGAAAGACAATTTCATCTCTATCCGATTCCGTCCTTTTAAACATAATAAGATGAGTTGAAGACGATTTCGTCTCTATATGCGGTTAATGATAATAACGAATCACAAAATCATGGAAGAATTTTCATCAGGCAAAATCACAAAACCATAAATTAGGAACTATGAAAATGACCAACAATTGACAATTATAGAATGTTGAAATTAAATTGTAGGACCATCATGCTTTAAGTAAAATTGTTTCGGAGAATCATAGGTAAATACTTCCTAGGCAAATGACAGAAAGGTACCACCAGTTGTATTAATCAGGGAGAATTTTAATTAAGAATACCATGTAGATTTAATTTTGTGTGAGTCTAAAAAAATTTTAAAATTGCAGTTTAGTTTAGAAAAAAAATCAAAAGAATTTTAATTGTGAAAAGACCCAAATACTGTTAACTTATTATACACAATCACCAGTTGTTAATTTTTTTACCACACTTGTTAATTTACTAATATAATTTATAAATTATAGCTGTTTTTTAGACAATAAATAATATTAATTATTAATTTATTAATTTTATTTATTAATTTACTAACATCAGTTGTAAATTATAAGACATGTCAGTAATTTATAATTGATATTATTAAATTAACAAGTAAAGTTAGTAATTTAACAATTGATGATATTTCTTATAATTAAAAAATTAATATTAAATCTTATATAATTATTGACATATCTACTCATTAATTTGTAACTCATATTTGTAAATTAACAAGTAAAATAAAAAAATTAACAATTAATAATTCTACATAATAAGTGAAAAGTATTTTGATGTTTCCATTGTCCAAATTTTTTTAACTTTTTCTCTCCTAAACTGAATTAAAATTTCAAATTTTTTTTAAATCTACATGAAATTAAGTTTCTAAAGTGATCCTTAACTAAAATTCTCCCTATTAATTATTATGAAGTCTCCTGGTACTTTTTTTGCATAAAATTTTGTTACAAAATTACCTTTTTAATCATCTTGATAGTAAGAGAAACAAACACCCAGCCAGCTTCAGCTTGTTCCCTCAAGCGCTGCTTTGAGATTGGTAAACTATTATGGTTTATCATAACTGGAGCTTTTGAATGCAACATAATTTCTTAAAACTAATCTAATCGCTCATAGCAAATGTACAAGCAAGTGATGGTGGCTCATTGACAAAGACAGTATAAGCCTTAAGCACAAATCAAGATCGCCGACTTCCTAGTGGTAACTGATTTCAGTCCCAAACCATTGCATCTCAAGCAAAGCGCTTGGCCTTGTTATATGTATCTTTAACCTTAAAATATTTCTAGCCATCATTGGCGTCAATGAATTCATCGAGGACACCACCTCTAACACTAACCAAGTTCAGAGGAATGTCCTCTCCGATATCCTGTCCCACAATGCCAGCATGAAGTAGAAATATGACATAACAAATACTTAGATAAACCGAGTGCGTCATATCATTTATGATCTATCTGCTAAAAACATGACATTTAGATTGTATTTAATATAAAATGATTCTGATATTAATGATAATGAGGAAAAAAAAAAGGCAAAAACTCAAATGTGCATTTTGTTATAAAAAAATCAATCAAAAAAAATGTCACACAATTTTATTTAAATACTTGGAGTATTTTAATTAGACAGACCATAAATGGTGTGATACACCCGATCTACCTAAGTATTTCTTGATATAGCATAAATGTGGCACCGACTTCAACACCTTCAAGAAGCTCTAAATCGCCAATGGCGACATCTCCCTCATCCTCTGTTTTAAATTGATCTCCAAGTTGCTCACCAAGTCCCCCTCTTAAAATCTTCGCAATGAATTCCTCTATCTTTACGGTTTTAAAATATTTCTCCTCAGTGTTTTGCATTTGATTTTGCAATCCTGGGACTTCTGGCAGAGAGAGGAAGCTAATGCCGACAATTGAAAGGTAGAGTTGAGGTCGGGGAGAGGATGAGAGCACAGAATCAAGTGCTTGTTTCTCTTAGGTTAAAAAAGTAATTTTGTAACAAAAATTTTTGCCAAAAAAGTCCTTCCAGACTTCATAACAATTAACACAATTGGTAGTACCTTTATGTCATTTGCCTATTTAAGAGGTATTTATCAGTCATTCTCCCAAAATATTTTTGTGTGATTAAAATACCACTAACAATATATTAAGAGCAACAAGCTTGCAAGTGTAGGGGCACTAAATTTTTTGAAAAATTACAACTAGATCCCACAAAGAGAATTTATCATCAAGAAGTCCCATAAAATTTAAAAAATACTTATAAATCCTAAGTCCTACACATTCACAACTTAATTAAGGGCATTTACAATTGGGCAATAGGCATTTATAACTTATTATTACAAGTTGTCATTTTTTCGTTGCTCAATTATAAATGCCTTTAATCAAGTTGTGAATGAGTAGGACTTGGGATGCAGGAGTATCTTATGAAATTTATAGGACTACTTGATAATTAATTCTCTTCTATGAGACCTCTTGATAATAAATTGGGTAGGATAGGCTGGGTTAATCAGGAGCTACATTTCTTTGAGATTCAAGCTTGATAGCTAAGTTAGCAGCATTAACACTCATTAAAGTAATTTTTATTTTATGCCTAGAAGAATGTTGTTCGTATGATATATTGAGAGTTCCATCTCTATGCATGCTTTGTTATGTGTTTAAATTAGGGAAAATTTCACTGAGGGACCCTTGACCGAAGTTAATGAAAAAGAAGGCCCCAAAGTTTCCGACATTTCACTGCACGTCTAGGGCGTAATCTGAAATTAATTTTGAAAGTGAAAGGACAAAGTTGCCCTTAAGACTGTTGCGAAAAAAATTTGAAGCATGTAGACAAGAGCTTCAAAGCACATTCGAATACACATACGTTAACTTGGGTGCTTTAAAGCACGTAGAGGAGAGGCGGCAGGTAGTTGACACAGTTTATCAGCAAAGGTTCATCGCCAAACTTGTTATCCAAGAATCTGCGTTAGACTGACCAATAGGTTGCACGAGGTTTTTGTTCATTAAGGTTTGACGAGGAAGAGGGTTCAATTGAGCATTTCACGGAAGGTGAACCGTTGTGAATTGCGAAAGTGATAGAAGCATATCAATGTAAGTTAAATTGTGTTTTATTTTGATAGTGGTTTCATAGAAATGTCCGTTTCATATTGGGAAAAAATAATTTTATCTATAAATTAAGGAAGTTTGAATTTAGTAAGCCTTGTTGATTGCACAAATAGTAGTTGTTAAGTAGGTTACTAGAGTTGTTCATTAGCCAAATAACAATTTGTGGGCAAGCGTGGTTAGGGAAATGAACAAGCTAGGTTAAAGAAATGAACATAAACTGTGAGTAAATGAACAAGTTTTGTTGTGTTAATTAACAAGTGACTAAATGATAATAAAGAATTGGGAGTTGTAAATAACCCTATCTGAGTTGTGCAAATCAAAATGGTGCTATCTTGTGAAGAACTTGATTTTATTTGTTCTTTTTTATAGGGCAAAGAATAGTGAGAAAGGTATTACAGGGTGGCACCTTTATGTAAGGAAGTTTCATAAAAGTGAAAAAGGAAATGGGACATTTCAACAAAATCATAAGAAGGCAATCCAAGAATGGAAGAAGTTGACATAAGGAAGTACGTGTTGGATAGGGATACGCAGTAAAAGATTAAAATTTTAAAATCCCTATTTTGATATGGACCGAACGAACTCATTTAAGTTAAAGTGTATATAAGAGTTACCTTTTAATTCTTTAAACTTGGCGCATGTTCTCTTCAAGAGTTTAGATCTCAAGAGCTACAATGTAGATTTGCTCCCTCTACTGGTATCAACACGAAGAGCTCTCTAACTCGAGCAGCGTGCTAATGCTCCCAATATTTGTTCTTCTTTGAACATTATTTTTCCTTTCTATAGGGTATTTCATGGCTCTCAAAGTGTTTTTGCTGTCAGAACTTTTCTAACTCTCTCATCCTTCATAAAGGACGTCCCTATCTATATATAGTATATAGATAAGGGTTTTCATCTTCACTTAAAAGACCCACGAAAATATAATTAAATTTATCTCATAAATTCAATCAATGATATCACATCTAATTCGAATTTATCTTATAAACTTAAATTATAAAATTGACATGATATTCTCTTATATCATGTGAGTTATTAAATTAATCTATCATATAAAATTAAATTTAAAACTAACAGTTCTTATATACCAATAGAAAATTTATCATGTATTTTAGTACCTTTTTTATTAGGTGAAGAAGGTGACAGTATAAGTAATCAAGCTAATTGGACAAATATGTTTTTAATAAAACAATTAAGTTGTTATATAAATGAAAATATAGGTGATTTAGAACATTTATTTAATGAAAAAGAAATAATAAAAATGTTACCAAAAAAAGTACAAATAATATTAGAAAAAAAATTCTAGAGAAAAAATGAAAAGATTTTAAAAATATGCTAAACCTTTAGAACAAACAGTATATGAAATAAAGAAATATTGTAATGAAAATTAGATGAAATAAAACATGATACAGAAAGACTAAGAATAGAACAAAGTATGATAAATCATAATATTTATAGAATCATGGAATACTTACGAATAAACCCTCATAATAAATTAGAAAATGAATGGTCACAAGTAAATATGATGAGAATAGTTGAAGATGAATATATAACTGAAGAAAAAATAAGAAAACAAGATATGCATGAAAATAGAAGACAAACAAGAATATAAACAGAAAAATAAAAAAAAAAGGACAAGAAATAATGAATAATAATATGTGGTTTATACATGCACAAATAGAAAAATTAGAACTACAAATATTTGATAGAGAAAATGGAACAAGTTATGCAAAGAAAAAGGAAAAAGAAATAAAACAAAAATTAGAAATAGAAATAGAGAGGGAATTAAGAGGAGAGAGAATGAAATAAATGAGAAAAAATGGAAGAGTGCAAATAGAGTTGCAGAAATAATGTTAGAAAATTATAATTATAAACCCAGAAAGAAAATTCAGCAAAAACACCAACAAAATGCTAAAATTAATATGGCACAAGAAATAAGTGAA